TTTAATTTTTCAGTAAGTGTTTTTTTATAAATTCATCCAAAATAGATTATTCCTATTTTTTGAAAAAAAGGAATAGGCACAAAAAATAGGAGTAAATTAATTTTTTCGATTTTCGAAAAAAAAAGTTACAGGAAGAAGCAGCAATGATGTTCAATATATTAAACATTGAATATCGATGTGTAGCGGCAGCGCTCTATCCACCTGATGATCTTTTGGTCACATCAAACGATCAATTACGCCTGATGAAAATGTACAATGATCCAATTGCAATAGATCCAACGGAATTATTTGATATGGACCGTGACAGATTGGGACTTGCCAAAAAAGCGATGCGAAAGTATCTGGAGCCAGAAGATGTTGAAAAGATGGACAAGTTGGAGACAACAAGATTTTTGTTGCCTGAAAGTATGAGTGATAAGGAAAATAAAAAGTAATCGGTTATTGTTGCTAGAAACTGATTCTAGTATTATCAGCGGGAGGAGGACCGGGAGGGGTGAAGGAGGGAAGAGAGGAGGGGGAGCAGGGGGGAGAGGGGGGTTTTAGATTGTTCCTTCTGTGCCATAATGCTGTGCAGCGGCTCAAAATGAGGGCTTAATGTAGTGGGATTGGTAAATAAGTTTCAGAAATTCTATGGCCTTTTTCAAGCATTTTTTAAAAATGTCCAAAATTAATATTGCTTGAATAAGAAGGAAATGATGATATGAGTATCTTGTTTGGACTTGGGAAATATTTATGATACATTTTATGCTTTTTTAGAAGATTTGTCGGATTGTTTAATATATGCTGTTGTTTTTTTAACGATACTAAAGGTAGTCTGTAGAAACGTGGGCTGAGCTTCGGCCAGAATAGATTAGATAGGTTGGGAACCTGAAATTTTGGTAATTGCTTTCATCAGCTGACGAGATAAAAGACCGAAGTACCTTTTTCTCTCTTACCCTCGTATTTCGGTTCTGATCTGTGAACTCAAGTCCAGATCTATGAATTCCCATATTTCGGTTCTGATCTATGAGCTCACCGATCTATGAACTCAAACCAGTTGTATAGGTGAATATTCATAAAGTATTTATTTAGCAGACTTTTGAAACTAATTTCACTAAATTTTTCGTCATGTCTCACGTCTTATACCTGTTATTCCTTTTTTTAGGAGGGAACAGGGGAAAGCGGAGAGGGGCAAATTTTTCCTTTTTTTTGCGAAATCGCTTTTGCAGATATCCATTTCTATTAGCAAGGATCATCACTGTTGTATGGGAATATGAAAAAAATTTGCTTAGCGGGAAAGAAGATGGGCAAAAAGATGGTTATGGAGGGAGTGCAATCTTCGTTCCTTGTATTTCTGTCTACATTGCGAAAGAATTGCTGTTGTTTTTGTATTGTAGTTCTTGTTTTTATTGTTAAGATTGTGCTAGTAGTGCTTGCAGAAATTTGTAAATTTTTATGAATAAATTTGTACAAAGTAATAAATTCTTGCGAAAATTCTCGGCGCTTAAATTGCTTCAATTGCATATCGGAGCGTTTAAATACTCTTTTTATAAGGTAAATTTCTCGTATTTCTTGTGTGCTTTTCTTGAGTTTCCCTCCAGTAACCTCTGGTTCACAGCGTGTTTAGTCTACAGCCCCGCAGTTGACAACTTTTCCACTTGCTTCGATACCTGGTGATCAGCTAGCTGGTAATCCTGATGTCCGTTTTCTTTTCCGAAAAATTTACCATCTCTACAATTTTCCCAATAGGAATACTTGGCAAGGCTTTAGTACTTTCGAAATATGCCTGGTGCGTGCTAAACAAACATCAATCACCTTACCTCGGGTACGTTTTCACTGCCAGATCTCGGTGAGAAGGCATATCTTGTTGATTCGAAATTTCTTTGGCTTATTTTCTGTAAAACCACTTAAATTTTTCTTTTCTCATTTCGTTTTATTCCTGATTATGCTCCATAATTGGCCTCTGACCAGTGTCCACTACAGCAGTTACCTACGCTTGACCAATGCCCATTATAACTTTGTATGAATACCATTTAGTAATAGACCTCAGTGTTGTCCCCGGTCATTTCCTCCGTGTAATCGGCTTAATTTTCTTCGCTAGATGACAATTTTTCAAAAGCGATTGGTTGCATGAAGTGGCGGAACACTGAGATAATGTGTTGTAGAAGATTCGCGCACAATGTCTGAGGTGTTACGAAGGGCGCGAGATGCGGCTCTTCGGGGAAGTCACGTCATAGCGGCACGTGGCTTTATAGAAGCGATGGCACGTATGGACGTAGCGCAGCGCAATCGCTTCCACGATGAATACATTCTATTACTGGAAACAATGGTGCATGCTGGTACCGATGAAAAAGAGGATCAGTTCCTGCTTCTCATGCAAAGTTTGCAAATATACCCGGAAGATGGTGCAATCTTCAATGTCATGGCTAAATTTTACTTCACTTTCGGTAACTTTTCCCTATTTGATTGGATTCAAAAGAAAAAAAAAGATTCGTATGTCTGTATCGGTCTGTGTGTTTCTGTATTTAAATATGTTTGCTTGTGTCTGTCTATATATATACATAAATGTTTATGTTTGTATGTGCATAAATATATACGCATGCGTTTATGTATGTGTATGTATGTGTGTATGTGTATGTATGTATTTATGTGTATGTATGTATGTATGTATGTATGTATGTATGTATGTATGTATGTATGTATGTATGTATG